AAAAAAAAAAAAAAAAAAAAAAAAAAAAAAGAAAAGAAAAAAAAAAAGAAAAAGCAAAACCAATTTGATTGCTAAAAGTAAACCAAACCAAACTGCTTCTGTAGCTGCCAAATAAGGAGCAAAGAAAGTGCAGCACAAATAACAAGAACATACAGAAGGCTGTTTGGTAATTCTGTGTTATAACTTAGAGTCAACAAGTAGGATATTTCTTATGTTCTTGTCAATTTGCCTGCTCAAAGATATTCCAGAATTAGAGAAACATTTGTTTGACTTAAGAATAAATGAATTTAAGGCTGAAAACACAAAACATGCTCTATTATGCTCCTCCTATAATCTTGTTACAGTTTATTGAGGCATTCAGAGGGGACACAGATTCTTAGACATTAAAAAGCAAGGCAAGCAAGAAGAAAGCTTTATTTATGAAAGCAAGGCAGAAATGTCTTTCATCAAAACTGTCACTGTTAAAAACCTTGCAACATATGTTACAACAACATTAAGCTTGCATTTTATAAACTTCTCTGCATTCACTTTAAGTGAATTTATGCACTGAAAGAGGGATATAACTCACAATAATAGCTTGTTAATACCGAAAGAATCAAGCTGTGTTTTTAAGAAGAACATTAAGCAGCTGTTTCCAGATGAAGGGAGTCTGTAAATCAGAGTAAACTGTTTTTATCCATGTTTGACTTTGATTAACTAAATGTTTTATGGATATAAAGACTTTATGAACCCCACATTTAATAAAAAAAATCAGCCAAAATAATGTTTTTATCCACTTTGCAATAGAGATTTTTAACCTAAATTACAATATAAGGTTATGATGTTTAATAATCAAACACCGAGTTTGATTCTTGCTTTACTTCTTAGTTAGAAGCTACACTGAAAGATGGCATAACTTTGTTAGAACTTTCCATTTTCCTCTATTTTTAAGCTCTACTGACTGCTGCCTAGTGGAGAAAACGGAAAATTCAGAATTGACTACACTGAATAGTAGCATTGTGTTGCTACAAGCAGTATGAAAAGTGTTTTGTACAGCACAGCACAAACACAAACCAACTCGCTGAGAAGAGCTGGACCCATAGGTAATATCTAAAGAATACCAATATTCAATCCCTCATACTTTTGCATCTGCCTCCAGACAAATTGTCCATACACATCTTTTCCTCCCAGACCTCTAAGATCTTAAAATGAAAGGCTAAACAATAGAAGGAATATGAAAGCAGAATGCAGTAGTACCACAAGGCTGTCACATTTATGGGTGCTGTAAACTAGCTTGATTTGGGGCTCGCTTGAGTTTCACAGAGCTTTCAATTAGTAGCTTGATTACAACAGGACAGGGCAATGATGATTACTCATCATTCAGAGTCATGGACAAAAGAAAATATACATTTTTAATGTTTTCTATAAGCATCCAGTCACATTCGGTATCAAGGAAAGGATACAAAGCTGTCTCTCATGTCCAGTTGAAGTTAGTCTGTGTGGACAGAGTCTTCTGTAAGGTCCTGTTGGGAAACTACTCAGAGGGCACTTTTCTTACTGAGAAAGGTGGATTTTTAAATTTTGTTCAGGGTTTCCAAATTAATAAAAAGTTACTTTCGGATAATTACATGAATTAACCAGAAGTATTTGTGAGAGGTAGGACTGATACATTTCACATATACATGCACACACATGTGTACACATATGTATACATCTGTCTGCAGCTACACAGTCATATATAATACAAAGTGACTTCAATTTCACAATTTGCTCCATTTCTCTGGTAATGATGTGTCCTGCCACTAGCAGACTACTAAAAATATCCTTATATGATTAAAGACATTAATTCAGCTATGTAACTCCCAAGTTTGGCATACATTCACACATAAGCAGAGCTGCAGAAACACGCACTCTGGCTTGATGAAAAGATAATGTAAATGGTTGCCACTTCCTTACAAAAATTACTCAGCATTATTTCAGCAATTGCAGGAATTCTCTGTGCTGAATACTGGGATCAGAGATTATTTCTAGTGGGTGATATCAACTCAAAAGTTCTGCAATGGTTGCCAATATAAAGACACAGCAAGAACATGCAGATGCTTCTCTAAAGATCCTGGGTAGGTGGTGCTCAGCACTGACCAAATGTGATCTACTTGCAGAATTGGTCATGTGTGCTCCTTTTCACCCCCTTTTATGAGTCCATGGTGCAGGAGGCAACTACAAAACCATTTCTACAGAACAGGAAGCTCATTTTCCCTGCACATGCCCCAGCTGAACACCAGACTGGTTCACTGGCTATTAGGTTGTTAAAACAATGGCAAGAAATTCATAATGCAGCTTATGCGGCAGACATAAGATCCTTTCAAGCAAACCTGCTAATCTGCACGCTAAATACATTTCGCAATATGCTCTGCAGCATGCAAATTTCTATCCCAAAATATCCTAAGAAATCCTCTGCTCCCACAGCAACACACACAGCAATTCTCCAGCTGGGCAGAGTAGCTTGCATGCTGTGCTGAGCTCCCTGGCACGGACTCACAGGAGTCTCTGGAAATCCAAACTGAACTAGCATTTATGTATCCTACAGGAACAAGGCAAATGGGGATGATAATCTGGAAGACAGCCTAAAGGACTTGACTCCTGAAGCTTCCAGTGAAGTATATTCATTTAAATTCTACATCAAATTAAAAAAAACAGAGGTAAATAAATTATCCTTCTGCCTGGGAAGCCTCCAAAAAGGCAGTAAGGATTTCAAAGCAGCAATTCTTTTGCCATGTTGAAGAACTGATTTTTTTATTCCTGCTTGTGCCACAGGGCTTCTTTTTAATGCCGGGGAACATTTCATACTTGGTCACTAATAAAACTTTCAGTTTAATGCCCACTGAGGCTAGAAGAGCTGACCCATAGCTGAGGTCAGCTAAAAAAGCTCTTGAAGTACAAAATATGCTCTTGCAATGTAAAATGTTTTAATAAAAGTAAAAATAAATCATGTTCAAGGCTTAAAATTAGCCTTTTGGTAACAGTGGGCGTATCTGCCACCACAAGTCTCATCAGCAATAACTATCTCTGCACCTCACCTCTCTGTGTGTAAAGTTAGGATAATGACACATTTTTATCATTGTGATGTTAAATTCAGTATTATTTGTGAAGCACACAAATGTTACGGTTGAGAGCATGACAGATAAGCAAGCATGTGAGACAAAATAATAATTTTTATTCAATGCAAGGTTTCAATGGTATGAATTTAATAAGACCTGGCACCACACAGAGAATAAAGAAGATAAAAAGAAATGTTTAATAGCTCCATGAAGAAGAGATCCTCTATGTGACCAGATAATTACAGCTATATTTTAATATCTATACACAAGAGGAATAAATTTAAGTGGCAATGAAAACTTAACTTTTTACATTCCTCTTATTATTTAACACTGACATTATAAGCCTGAAGTTCTTTTCAAAATATGTGTGTATATGTATGTGCATATTTTAAAATTGCAACACAACCACAGGGAACTATTTCCAAACATTTAAACTAAAATTTAAAAAAAAATAAAGAGAAAACAAAACCAAAACAATCTCATAAAGGAGAGGAGAAAGTGGTGTTAATTTGCTGTGAGTTACTGGCAGAAAGTCAGTAACCAAGGACATTCCTTGGCATTCACCCTTTGACCTGCATAAAGCCAACACAAAGAGTCTTATGACTCTCATGGCACTTCTGTCCTTTTTTATGATAGCTGCACTATCTATCCATTTTATGTTAATACTGTGGAATTTATTCTCTGGATAGAGTGGGTTTTTTTCCTAGAGACTATGGTTAATTAATTGTTTTTGTTCTGGTTGCTGGGTAGTTTCTAATTAGCTGCTTCAGAGATCTTTCTTTGTGTCTTTCTTCCCCTGGGCAATTCCAAAATGCCTCTACAGAGGTCTCTGTGCTTGTCAGGTGGCAGAGGGTCACTGCTTTGAGGGATCTTCCCAATAAGCTGGTATCCATAGCATTTCCAACAATTTGTCTTTACCTTACCATTTCTTCATTCATTGTTCAGCAGGGGCCCCAGGAAATTCTTTGAAAGAAATAAATATCACACACATACATACACACACACAAATGCATACACATAAAAATGCATGCATACATACATATATATATCCATACACACACACACACACACACACACACACACACACATATATATATATATATAAAATTAAAATATAATGACGTTGGTTACATGGTATAAAACTGAATTCTGTTTATATTGGAGCTTCCTTTTGCAGTATATGCTAAGGCAAGGGCCAGCCTATGAATCTGTATTTCTGATAGATGCCACACCTAAAAAAGGACATGAAGGAGCACCACATGGATGTGATCCAGGTTTACAATTACTCTCTGCTAACATCCAAATTTTCTACTACTGATCCATCTGCCTGGGGCAAAAGGGTTTGCCACAAAGGTTAGTCAGCCTGTTCTGGAGGAATTGCAGATGAAATATGCAGCATTTTAAGAAAGCCAAGCTGCATGTTGACATCATTGATGACAAAATGCAGTGACACATAGTCGAAATAATCTTCCACAGAAGAAAAAAAATGCTGGTTTCTCTATTTATTCTAATCTGTACCCTGACCACTGAAATCTGTCAGAACAAGTATGGTGCATAAGCCCCCATAATAATGGCTGTGCTGTACAAAAACAACAGTAATCCTTATAATACACAATCTATCACCACACTTCTTATCTCCTCTTGTGTAATCCCCTGCACACATTAAGCTCTCAGCAATATGACATGCAGAAGAAAAACCATGAGCATTGTGAATGCCCCCTTAGCAGAATTCATCCCACAGAATACAACTGTTCTGATATTGTGCAGGGCCATTTTTCTCTCACTCTTTCACTTGTGGCTCTTCTTCCTCTGGACAGATGCCCCAACAGCAAAGCACTCTCCTTGTGTCCAGTGCCCTGGGAATTCTCTCCTACTCTTACAAGTCCTTTCCATCAAGCTTCAGAAAGGGAAACAGAACAATTTGAAAGCCAAACACTATATTAGAAATCCTACCCAGCAGTTTGACCCCTCAAATAGAAATGTTGTTAAGCACTGCCCAAAAGACTTTGGTGTTCTCTAATGAAAGGATATCCACTGATTGTGGGTAAGGCTTGTGCTGGCAAACCAGATGACAGACAGTGCGTCAGGCACTAGCACCATGTGCTTCTGACTTCACTGCAAGTGCTCTGCAGGAAAGATATTTTTGATTTTTGGGTCACTAAATAATAGGGCATTGTCAGAGGTCACTATGACTTGAAGCAGAAAGTACTTTTTCACACAGCAATTTCTTCTCGATATTTAACTTTGATTATTTCTTGACATGTAGCGTAATGAATCCACAGATCAATTATCCTTCAAGCATACTCATTTTTATAATGTTTTTCTATTCAGAGAGCTACCTTGCTTCAAGCAGAAGACTGAAGACATTGAACCTGCCTGACTTGAAAGAGAAAATGACTATTTCATTGCCATATATATATATATACATATACACACACACACACACACACACACACACACACATATATATATATATATATATATATACACACATACATACATATATACACACTGCTGTATGTTAGATTGTCAGAGCACTCACACTGGGATCAAGACTGGATCATTCCTGGGTGGTAAAACACTGAAGGGATAAATAGGCAGACTGAAATGATTGTTAAGGTAACAACAGCAGAAGCTTTACCGTCCAGGTGACTTGCACTGTCGTGGGTGTCAGCACAACAGGATTGTGCAGCCGTACAATGACGTCTCCCAGCTCTTTCTGGACTTGCCTGTGATCCACACCTTGTGCTGGGGGGCTGATATCTGCCAGGCACACATATGAAATCATCACTTTAGTGAGAAAAGCTATATATGGCATCAATAAAATCTACTGAGTAGCCTGATGACATGACTTGAAAATCCTCTATAGCACTGTTTTTAAAAAAATACAGCACTAAGGTTGAAACCCGGACAAATATAAAATAATGCAAACAAAATCATCCACCTCTAGCCACTTAGGAAATCATGAAATATAAATAAGATTAAAGGAGTATTCTGACTAGATGGCAAAGTTTTCTCAGCTCGGGTAAATGATGAGAGAGATGCAATGTTCACTAGTTTCAAAGTACTTAGATAATAATAATGCTGCACAGATGTCCGGAACCAAATTGGTTAGTATAATTGAAGAAAATGAACAGTGTTTTTTTTATTTTGCTAGAGCATACATGACATTAAGTCATTATATGTTTCCAAACTTTCACTAAGCTTCTTCTCCCCACATGCCATGCACACAAGAAACCAAATAATAAAAATAGCATTTTCTCCTGCAAAGCAAATTTTCCCTTAACAGACATAGCTAATGAAATCTAGTGCAAACATGAAAAAAAGAAAATATTTAATTTAGGAAGCCAAACTGATCCTTATCTAGTAAAAGGCCAACAAAAACAATCTACCACAACATTTTCTCTTCAAGATCATGTGCCCTTCAAAGTGGCACATGTATCCAGAAGTAAGAGAATAACATGGACTGGTAACAGTAGAAAGTGAATGCCAAGATGTACATGTGGAATTCAGTTTTCTGGTATGTACACTTGAAAAAAAGTGTGATGCTCCCAGTGTAATTTCATTTTCACATGTTGAGGAGGATCCTGGTAGAAAGACAGCTGATCTATTTCTAAGGGTATGATTAAGTATTGGAATAATAGAATCATGACTTAAGCAAAACTGGTGCAAGAAGCTACATCCTGAACACAATGGATTCAGTTAGATATTCTCTCTAACACCTATTTTTTTCAGCTATCAGTGAATATACTATTATTTATTATAATTTAGATTTCATGGATAGGAATTTATATCATTTTTTGGAAGAGTTTTTTTAGTATATGGTTTCATCTATTAATAATCCAACAAGAAACCAATTCCATTAGAAATAAGGACTTCTGTCTTTATTTCATATAAGTAATATAAGATAAACCTTTTGAAAGTACCTGATTATCTACTTGCAGTTCATTGGTGAAAATTTACATTAAATCTTATTACTTGTATTTGCTGTACTGAATACCAGGCCATTAAATGTTCAGCTATGAAAGCTACCTGTTGCAAGTTATTATTTTATAGCACTGCTATAGCTGCTTTGTTATTTCTCCATGGCCCCTGTGAAAAGGCTTTCCACCATGTGTCAGCTTCTACTGTGAGCCTGAATTGAATTCAGGCATAATTAGAAATCACATCAAAACATTATGTTAATTTTCAATTGATTTTATGATTTAATTCTATTAAACTGCAGGCTTGCAAAGAAGCTATAAATCCTGTACATGTCTCAGTGTGCTTGACTGCTAAACAGCTTCTGGAAATGGAAGCTGCAACACACACCGTAGCTAATTAAAAGACATGTTTTTACTGAAATCAAATTGCTTGTCAGTATGTCAGATAAAAAGTCTATACTTGACACTCAAATGCCAAATAAAGTTGTTGTTTTTTTTTAGCTAGGTGATAAGTTATGCAGACTAAAAGTCTGTTGCAATAAAAAGCATGAGTCACCCTATAATAATGGGAAAATAAGAAAGATGGAAACTTGTGATATTCCATGGCTAATCAGGCTAAGAAATCCCTGCACAACTCACTTCTCCAGCTTTTGAGAAGGCAGCTCTATTTTTCCTCTTCCAGCCATAATTACTATTTTGAGGGTGTAACTATTCAGGACAGATTTATTCAGGGCTAGGCTGGGATAAGGGAGGCTGGATGGTTATGTGATAAAGAAGTGCCACTCTACTCTTGTTTATCTCTTTCCATCCAGCAAAGGACCCAAACAACTTACAACACATGCTGGAGACTGCCTCAGGATGTGCCCTCCATTGGCACCTTCAGATCTCCAGAGACAGAAGTCTCTGAATAAAAATAAACGGAGACAGAAGATTTAATTTTAAATTACCTGTGACTATTACTTTGGATTAGAAAAATTATGATTCCAAAGAATTATGAATTTTTGTATTAGGACATGTTTAACACAGAAATACACTCTTGAATTAAGCATTCAAGCAGTATCTTGTCAAAACAACAAAAAAATCCACGCTGTGAAGGGAAATCTGTTTGTGGCAGTTATATTCAGTTAGAGCTTGATGCAAAGTGAACAGACCTCAGTAACTGATTCAGTAGCAATGGAGGACCACAGGTACCAATCCTATCAGCACCCTGCAAATGAGCAATTTCACTTCAGCCTTCTCTCTTGGTTTGCACAATGGACTGATACAAGAATTCAGAAATATAGGTATGTAAGTAGAAGGTCCATGCCTTTCTCTTATTCTTAGAATGCAGATGCCTTAATTTACATGAATTCTCTGCCTAAATGTTGGTTCAGATTAATGAACATGTGTTGTGCATTTCTTTTGATTAAACATAATTCTAAACACAGTGTCTTGCCTGTTATAAACACTTGTTATCATAGTATCGCTGTGAGACACGTGAAAGCACAATGCAAACCACTGCTGTTTGCAAGGCAAAGAAGGCTTTATTTTCTGACTCCAACTTTTACACTTTTCCAAAGGTGACAGTGGATTGGAGAGTGAATGGGCCACCCCTCCAAAGACATTGGACAAACTACTAGTACATCAAGTTTCTCCACCCCTATGAAGGAATGCAAAACAATATGTTGTTTATAGAAAATTGTGTGAGAAAGTTTTCTAACAGAATGTAAACTCAGAAGCCTTTAGAAAATCTTAAGAATTGGGGCAACAATCATAGTATATCCCTACTAATGGAGAGGAAGAAAGGACATGGAGAGGAAAGATACTGAGGAGAGAAGAGTGTTTAGAGTGCTTTTCAGAAAAGCTTGGGCAGGTCACATTGCTTTCAATAGTAACCAGGGACAAGTCGAGTCTAAGTAAATTGCAAACCAAAAAGTCTACACTGTACAAAAGATTAAGGATGCAACCTTAATGCAGCAAACACTGGACTACTCTCATCTTTATTGGTGAAGCTCAAATCACAATTCCTTCAGTGAGTGTGCTAAAGCCAAACAGCCAGACTGACCCATCGGTGGAGCCACAGTTCCTCCTCTCTATTTCAGCTCAAGCACACGAGCCTTGAAACTGCACCTTACCTTGGGTTCGGACAGGGTCTGACATGGGGCTGGGGTCACTCAGGCCCTGTGGGTTGATGGCTCTGACCATGAACAGGTAGATGGTGTTGGGGCGCAGGCCTCTCACAGTGTACAGGGTGCTCTTCACGTGGTTGGCCACCGTTTGCCAGCTGTTGCTCACAGACTGACTGCAACAAGAACACGTGGAAGATTATAAACGAATATAAGAGAAAAATAAAGATGTGAAAGGACCTGTCTTGTAACCCCAGATTGACTCTAAGAGCAGGAAAAGGTGGTAAAAGCAGGGTGAAATAAAAAATATTTTTTTCAGTTAGCTCATCGAGACCAGCTAAAAATCATAATGCAGCTGTCAAAAGTATTTCTCTTTGCAATAAAATAAAACTTTTTGCTATTTCTCTAAAATACCTGAAAAAGGAAAAAGGTAGAAAGCTGTAGAGTAAATTTGAATGATAAACAGGCTACTCTTGAACAAAAGGCTTAGAAAGGAAAGTTCTCTTGAAAGAATAATTTTCTACACTGGTAAGTAAACTATGTCAATAAACTGCCATTGGAAGAAAAATGCTCTTGAACTAAATTCACTCTCAAAGTTAAAAAAAAATTGAAAACATTCTTTGAAATGGAGGAAATTATATGAATATTTTCCTACCACCACAATTTCAATTCAACATTATTATAATTAGATTACAATCCACTATATGAAAAGATTTCAAATGTGAATGTTAAAACAACATTTAATGAAAATGTCTGCCTTTTTTAGAAGTTATTGATGGGATGCCATTAAATCTTATCTAGGGTGAAACATAAGTTTAAAGAGAAAATTTTATTTTACTATGCTTTGTTGTATAGCGTTGATAAAAAAATTTTAAATATATTAAAAGGAAAAAGGAAATGGAAAGCTACAAGGTTTATGTTGCTTGAATCACTTCATTCATACAATGCATAAAGAACAACTTCTAGAACAAAACCAACATACTGCAAATACTGTAATGTTCTTTACATACATAACATATGAATTAAAATTTGCATGCATATGATTATGAAAATTCTTGCATGAATTTTAACTTAAAAGAAAAACTTGTCCTTTTTATAACAACTGGATTAAGGAACACATATAAAAAGGTACAGAATTTGAAGCCAAAATATGCTCTAGAGATACATGTCAGAGTACGGCCCATGCTCAAACAAACATGCTGAATTGGAGCCCAGGAGTTCTTTTGTACTACACAGTAATTGCTGCTGTGTGGAGGGGAGCACCTGAATTCTTTAAAGCCTCAGGCTGCAGGATAAAATCCTAAATTATCAATACTGGTCTTTTCAGTTAGAAGTTTTCATCTATCTAAAACACTAAAAAAATAGACATTTAAAGCACTTTGACCCCTTAATACTGACTGCATTAACAAGAGCTGGAATTAAAGTTTGCAGAGAGCCTTCAGGATTACCCATTTATTCCCATATTGTCTGTACTATGATAGCCAAGAACCTGCATCATTCCCACAGGAGACTCTCACTGATCATCAGTGTTAAAGGAAAAGTGACAAACAATTACTGCATTGTTCCATTATATTCCTGTTGACCTGAAGAAATAGTTAGATGTCGTCCAATTAATCACTTAGAAAAAAGTGATAAATTAGAAAAAAATCAATGTGAAGAATATTAATCAATGCCTTCTATGGAACTGAGTCATTTAATGAGCTTCTAATGACATGTATAGAGTCCAAAAGAACACCACAAAACCCTGGCACTAGGGTTTAAGCAAAATTAGAAAGAAAGGAGCTTAAAGGTGGTATAATTCACATACCTAAAAGCCTCAATGATATATGCACTAGCTGGTAGGCTTCCAGGGGTCCCTGGCTGCCAGGACAGGGTGACACTGTTCTTAGTAACATCCGTGACCTGAGGTTTGGATGGTGGCCCAGGGAGGTCATTTATATCATAATTTTTACTGACTGCTGCTCCACCGGATTCTGTGAAGGACAAATACAAAATGATTACTTTTTATCCTTGGTTATATAATTTGATCAAAGCAGAAGATTAAAATGAAAAACATGGCAAACATCTGCAAAATCAGCAGAACGGATGTTCTTAATCTATAAAGAACTAAGTCAACAATTGCATTACTACCACATGTTTTTGGATGAAGGGCTATCATTCTCTAGGTACTAATAAAGAAAAAAAAAGGCAAAAATCAAAAGATAAATATATAAAATAAAAAAAAGAAGGAAATGAAAGAATAAAAAAAAGCCCAGCTTACTGAAATGTACATGAAGTACAAAAAACTTTGAGAAATTTCCTGTATTCAAATCAACTGCAGTACTCACATAGAGCACTTTGTATTTTTCTTGCCCAAGCCAACTACTGGATAAAGCCACATTTTATTAATACTCCTGTTAGAAGAATTAAAGCATACTGCACCCACTGGACATAAGTATGAAAATTGCTGCGATGTCAACAGGCATTATAAGACAACAGCAGTGAAATGCAAGATGCATGAAGGAACACAGCCTTCTCATCCAAAACTTCTCCATGTCAAGCCAAGAAGTTGTGGCTCAGACTGCTGTCATATGGTTTATTTTCCTCTGTGCCAAGTGGAGCACATCCCTGGGCATTGCTTACCTGTCACCTCCAGCACAGCACTCCAGGACGTCTCCCCACTGGAACTTGTGGCAACGCAAGTGTAAGTCCCAGTATCAGAGAGCTGGACATGAAAAGGGCATAAGGGCAGCTTTAACAACCTTTTAGAATCAGCTGAGTTTACTCTTATTTTCTTTTTCTAAATGCTCCTTGATAAGAAGGACTTAGCCTACATTTTACACCAGACTAGAAGGCACCAGACATTTTCAAGCAATCATTTAATGGTGGCTTTCATTTAGAGAACTATAATAAGATTACTTGCTTCTAATACTTTACTAATTCTAATTTTCATATTGTTAATGGTACCAGTACTGTAAATGCTCCACAATGGAGCACTGACAGTGTCAGCGTTTGCATTGGTTACAAAAAATGCAGGTGAAATCAGGTAACATTTATATACAATATAACAATGATTAACCTCTTAGAGGGTAAAAGCTCAGCATTTATTATCCCAGGATGACCCACAGGTCTAGTTTACAGTGCCAGGAAGGATGTTACATCACCTTAGACTCTTATGACAGATAAAGTAATTTCTATGCACCCTACATAAAAATGCTGCTAAAACTTAACAGTTCTCTCTTAACAGTGGCTCTCTCGACATAGACAATCCTCCAAGCAATTTCCAAACAGAAGCATTAAATTAGATCCTACACCATGCTTACCTTTCTTCTATCTCACATGGGATATTTTTTTAGGCTTGCAAGGCCCTTTGGTAGCAAAAAAATATTGCATTTGTATAAAATTATTGTGATTCCCTTGTCAATTCAAATATTTTAAATTTATTTAGGGAAACTGTTTTGAATTAGGTTGTCAATATTAATCTCATCACCGTAGAAACTGTTTTACTAGCAAATTTGCCAGGGGTTTTCCTATTTCCTGTTTAAATTTAAAATAAACATTTCTGAGTCAGGAACAAGTGAAGACTACAGGGATGGATGGAAAATGGTAAATTTACAAAACACAAAATATATGGAGGAGTTCTCCTTTCATAATGCATAAAGCATGGTTATCTGGAGGTGGAAGCAGAAAAGGGTGAGTGCTGACTCTAGTGATTAAGAATTTTATTCACCATCACATGACTTGATGGAAAGAGAACTGCATCCAAGGAGCTTTATTGGGCTTTAAAAAATTGTAATGAGTTTTCTGTTAAATGCAGATTGGCACTGTAGCATATATCCTTATATGTCACTCTTCAAAAAGAATGTCAAGGCAAAAAAGCAAGATGTTTTTTAGATTACTTGTAGCTATATACTTTAATTAATTTTTAGCTTTGTCACGCATGAAATTTGTTGCTATTTTTCTTCAGATACACTGAGAATGCTTAGGTGAGGAAGCAACTCATTAATGCCAGCTCAATTTTCTGAATGAACATGCTTTTCAGGAGATGGTTATGTGTGTGAAATACAAGCAATAATGAAAACCCCTCTGACAATGGCTCAAAGACTCAAAATACAACAGTGCTGCTACTGAAATGAGAAAGACTCTTGAAAAGAGAGATTTTCCAGAGGAGAGAGCCTTATACCATTTTGAAGCAGTGTTTTATTTTGCTTCCTCTGAGATTTTATTAAATATATAATTCTTCATTATGTGATAATGGGGACTATTTCTCAAGGCTATGGTTCTTAACTGCATTTGTGTACTACTGTGACAGATGGTGCACTCAATGAGGTATGTGGTATACACAACAGAGCAACTTGAAGAAGGCAAACAACATACAAAGCAAGCTGGAAGTACACGGCTTCTTGCAAGCTTTAGCAAATTATCTAATTTCCAGGTTGTGGATGGATTAGAACCAGATTTAGTGTGTTGGTACTTCAATTGTTTATACTTTTTTTGATCTATGGGGAAAAAAAAAAAAGGGGAGGTGAATAGGAAAATTTTTACTATTCAATAAAATAAAGTTTTGTTCCTTAGTTAATGCAGGTGTCTAATCCTGGTGTGGCACGTTTCTACAGCAAAGGGAGTTTTCCATCCGTGCTGACCTGTCTGAAGGTGTATTGAATGAATGAAATAAGTGAGTTTTTAGTCATCTTCCTCAGGGCAACTGAGAGATTGGCTGACCAGAAAAATCTGTGTTCATGTTACAACTGTGGCACATGTGACTGTTGCAGGCTCATGAATCATTTGACTGTGGTGTGACAGAAATAGCAGAAAAGGATCAGAGAGAATGGTTTATGTTGGAAGGGACCTTAAAGTCCTCTCATCCCCCCTCCCCACCCTGGTTGCTCAAAGTTCCATCCAACCAAACCAGGTTTCTCAAAATGCCATTCAACCTGGCCTTGAACAGGGATGGGGAATCCACAAATTCTCTGGGAAACCTGTTCCAGTGCCTCACCACCCTCACAGGGAAGATTTCTTCCTGATACCTAATATAAATCTACCCTCAGCCAGAAGGCTGAGGACATGTCAGTGGCAATTATTAATTTATTTTGAACCTGGGGATGTAAACATACTTGGACATTTTTGTGGCCCTTTTTTTTCTTTAGGAAGTGGTGCTTGTCCTTGTAAAGGTAGATCTGAGAGAAAAGTTAAGCATTCCTCATTTAAATCCATGTATAATTAAAATATGCAAAGCACAGGAGAAAAATTGTGTTTATAGTTCTGTGTAGTTTTTGTTCTTAAAACTGAGTCAAACAAACAGTGCACATTACTGCTATAGAGGAGTTTCTAAAAAATTACTTTCTAAGCCTTTAAGAAAAATTGGTTACTAGTGAATGAGCCACTTAATGATTAATAAAAGCTTTGCGTCTTTTAGAACCACACTCACTACTAATATTGTTTTCTTCTCCTCTTGTAAGTAATTTTATTTTCCTTTAGTTTACAGACACAGCCTCTAAGAGTGAGATTAATGTGCTGGCACGATTCAGAGCCAATTTCATTGTTTGCATAGCAGCATGCAGACAGGTATCCCAAGAGCTTCTGCCTCATGGACACTCCACGGAAGCCCATCATCAGTGCCTGAAAGTTTGTTTGAAATCACTAAGCTTCCACCTTTAATTGCTGCTTTCTAACACTACTGGGGAATCTTGACTATTCAAGCGCACTCTTTAATCCAGCTCTACAGGAAAAATGCATTAACCTTCATGGCCTAAACCTGCCTTCAGCCCAGGGAGGAACGACAAATTGTTTACTCAAGGCAAGCTAGCATAAATTTTTAAATAAATTCTATTTTGTTCTAAGGCAGTTCACAATTCATCTATGATCACTGATGAGACAGTATCAGAAAAAAACCTGCTATTTCTTGTTATTAGTACTATGTTTTTTAACATTTTTTTGGATGGGAAAACTAAGAGCAGACATTTCTGCTGACTAATTTAAATGGTTTCTGAAATTATCTTCAAGTTCTTGAAAAGTAAGTACATTTAACTGACTATTTTCCATATGCATGCTTGTCCAAATACACAGAAATACTTAATCTTTAAACAGGGAAAAATTAAAAGCCAAAACAGAGATTAGTGATGCAATATTTAACAAAAACATATGACATTATCCTATTTGAAGTATTAGAGAATATTGTATTATCTCATGTGTAAAAATGTTGATATTACAATAGGTATTTAATTTTTAATAGAAACCCCTCTGCATATGACTGCATGTATGCTACAGTATTAGTTGTCTTTTCCCATTTGCAGCCTGGTGGAACATTTCCAGGAAGCATAACACTGGAATAAATCAGCCAGCTCGGGACTGACGAGTTGTTGATGGAGAAAGTGCATGGTCAAACCCTGATGAGCTCCAGATCACATGCTAGCACAAGTATTTGGAAAATTACGGTCAGGTGTTGCCAAGAACTGCTCTAAGTTTTGACAGAGAGGCTAATGGCTTCAGCATAAGACCAGTGAAAAGGAAGGAGAGTCCTTTTACATTTCTGTCTACCCCCAACTCATGTGTTCTATTGCAACAGACACAAAATTATAAACACTGATTCTGTTTTTAGGGAATTCTCATAGAAATACCTGAAGCTAGTTTTGCTCTTCTTTCCCCTTCCCTTTTCTACACGTCAAAGAATGGATAATGACTTGGTGAGAACTTCATAGTAGAAAAGACAAGTTAATTTTGGAGACAAGAAGAAGGCAGCAGAGCTGCCTGAGGCACACACCAAGAGCTCCAAACTGGACACGTAGAACCCGTCACGCTCGTGGCGCTGCCGTTACTCACCCGCAGAGCTTTGATCTGGAGCGTCCCCTGGTCCTGTATGGACGTGCGAGGGTCCCGGCCCAGGAAGGTGAACCCTTCCTTGAGCCAGCTGATGACAGGCAGGGGGTCACCGGTGGCCTTGCACTTGAGCAGAGCTGTGCCATCCACTGCCAGGGTCTGGTTGATGGGGCCCTGGAGGATGATGGGCGGAGGTCGATCTGTCAAGACTAAAACAGTGGCACAGGCATTGGCACCCACACATTTTGCCATCCTCTGCTGCTGCTATTCCGCCACGCGGGACAAGTTTTAAGAAGATGCTTAAAGTCAGCCTCTAAGAGGCTAAACCCATTATTTTTGGAGGAGCCATAAATAGAGGTCATCAATTAGTTGGCAAATTTGAAAATCATTTCAGTAAGAGTTTTATTTCACCACTGCAAGATAACATGCAGATAGAAAAATATCTGTTAGCAAAGATCATCAGGCTGATTTGGTTAACATAGGATGAAAATTAAGACCTTAATTCAGAGAAGAATTGAAGTGCAACACTCTTTCCTTCCAATTTGGGATAGCACTTAAAACACACCTTTGATGTCACATCAAAATGTGTTTAATTGCTTACCCAATTTGGTCTAAAAGAGAAAATCTGTTAAGTTAAAAGTGAAACACTATAGCTACTCTAGCCTGGGTACCAACCACATCCCCCATTCCTACTCTATTTGCAAGTTTTCACCAGCAAAAATATTTAACAGTTATACAAAACATTTTCATAATCTGGTTGATCTAAATGATGTACCACTCTTTCCAGCAGAGAAAAGCTCAAGCTCAATCACATAATTTAACAGCTTACTTATCAAATAATTTCCTCACCTTTTAAAGCCATGAACTCCCATTTTTTTCCCTGATAATTTACAATCTGCATGCTTGCAATACTGAATAAAGGACCCTGCAACTATTGAGAGAGTGCATGGCTGCATATAAGCCTCATTCCATGACCAGTGAGGTATCTTGAAGATGAGGTATAATGCTCATGTTTATTTTTCTTGAAAGATCATTTTATCCCAAATAATTCTGTTGTTGAACCTTTTCTCTGAGCCATCTGTTAAGCAACAAAATATGACCTTTGTTTCTAAAAAATGTGTTTATACAAACTGAATCCAAAATACTTGAATATACACAAGGCTAGGACTGTCACAAAAAGTCAGTACTGAGAATTTATTTTTCTTTTTGTGTATTTTTATAAATTTACCAGCCATACTGCTGCTGTTTTAAATTTTGAACAACTGAACAATTGTGTGACTGGTATTAAATATCTTAGCAGGCAGGATTAACTTCTAAACCAGTGCAAGTTAGCCTGCCTCTGCTGATGTCAATTGAGTTTGAATCATTTATTCTAGCTGAGAATCTGTTTATTATAGTCCACACAAAACACCAGACTCTAACAATGAAGTGAAAATATTATTATGAAGCAATATGACTTCTGTTGTATTTGAGCTGTTTGAGATGCAAACCTCTGGAACCTTCAAGAGTACCAAAGTGCTTTTATTGTGTTATTTATTAAATAAAACATATCAGGGATATGTTAGTGGCACATTTTATGCCTAAAATAATTGTTTCTGAAATTTTAATGTTGCAAAAATACAACCTACCTTTTTTGTTAACAAAATTCACAAAGATCAGAATCATTAATATTGTCAGAATCACACCTTGGAGTGTGACCTCATCACATTCATTGAAATTGAAACTGAAAATAGAAAGCCAATATATATTTTGAACTGAAAATAGAAAGCCAATGCAGATTATTTCTTAACACCAGAATGTGAAAGCTATTTTGGAAATTCTGAAGTATCACTAACTGAACTTAAGAGATAGGACAGGAAACACTATATAACAAGAAAAATGTAAGGCATTTACAGCTTGATACAAAATGTTTAATCTCATTAAGGTTCCTTATGACTACATAGTTCAGCTATTTGGCAAAATAAAAATGGATCTCAGCTCTCAGAGAGTTACTAGGATAGAGTTATTAGCTGGAGCATGAGTATAATAAAATTAAAACTTAGCTGCACAAGTTATCCTTTAGATTTAATGTAAACCAGAAAATCTCAGTATTCTAAGTAGCTAAAAAATAATGAAGAATAACTATTTAAGTTGCTAGCTATTCCACTGCAGTTATTTGCATCATCTAAGTGTCTTTCATATATGTAGCAATGTAGGTATTTTCAAAACCTACTGCATTACAGATATTGTTCTTTGGCATGTAATTAGATTTTTTTTACAGCCCAAATGAGGAGCTCATAATCCTTTAAATAGCTCTGATCAATAGTGTAATTGAAAGCCTCCTAGCCAGAAGGAATCTTCATTTTCAAGGGTGTTATGGGTGAAAGACCACTACAGGTTTCCATGACACTAAGGTTAAAGGTTAAATGAACACTTAGAGTTTCCACTGATCTGTGAACGGCTGTATTGTCTTCACAACTATGACTTGTAAATCTTCTCTAAAATATGTGTGTGGTTACATTCCTACTACTTAGGTCCTCATTAGTAAGGAACCAAAACTAGGTTAGAGTTTAAAATAATATATATGTCAGAAGCATTATGAAGAACAGAGGACTAATGAAAAATAGCCACAAAATGGTGTGGGGATTGTTAGTTGCTTTTAAAACATATTAATTAGTTTCTTCTCATAGTTTTCTCCTAGCTGCAAACTTCTGTATCTGTTCCACAAAAACATTTTGTGTGCCCACAAACATATGTGCATGGTAAAACAGAAGTTGATTTCAAAATTACTTTATTTTTTAAAATGGTTTTGAAACTATTTGCCAATATCCATACATCTGCATATTCTGGTAACTGAAAAAATAACAGATTCCTTTCATGGAAAAATGCATCTTAATTTTTGAAGAGATTATAGGAAAAGGACAAATTCTATTTTCCTATAGATAATAATAAACTGTTCATTAACAGTTTATTCACTACAAATGCAGTTTGGATCAATTGAAACCATATTTAAATTTGGGGGATATGTGGTCAAATTACAATGGAAATGAAGAGAAAAACAAAATGAGGTCTTTAGTTTGGCATTTCCAAAGTCAAAATTAAAAAAAAAAATTTGTGGTGAGATGATGTGTAAAATCAGACAAAAGTAAGGAAATCTACATCATGAACACTCATGATAGGGTAGGGTTCTGTCTGAAAGGTGGAAAAGCAGAGCCCAATCCCTTGTCTGTCTTTTTTTTTTGCAGAAGAGCTTCACAGGAAGCTGTGAAATTGTTCTGAATTTCTCCTGTTTGAAACTGTCACACTTGCTATGAAACATATAGTTTGGATGAGGGATAAGAATCATTGTGGTCAGATTTGTAGACAAGTAAACTGTGATTTATTAATAAATTTTAATATTTATTGAGGAGAAATTAAGATCTCCAAAATATTCTGTGCATGATTGACAAATACTAACACAAAACTAATTGGAAACTATACCTTTTATGTGGAGCATAGACAGAGATGGAAGCATTGGTTTATTTGCATGATCTGTCATAAGATTGTGAGCTGCATATTAATTTCTTGCGTTTGAAAGGATTGCTGAGATTCTTCAATTTCAAAATTGATTTTGCTTTTCCAGATGTGCATTAGACAGTGAATTACATGATAGCCTTTCAAGAAAATACAAGATTTGAATTTCAAATATGCTCAAGGCTCTTAGCACAGTCCATAATCAGCAAAATTATCACTCAGCTCAGCACATTTCATCACAGCTAGTAATCTCTTCTCATGTGAACACTTGAGTTAAAAATATTTCCAGTAAAGACTTGTAAGTGCAAAAATGTAACAACTGAAACACTGCTATATATGGTATAATTAAGCACTTGTTTTTCTGCACATGACATGTTTTCATTCTGTATTGGAACTTCAATTGGATCTAAATTACTCTGGATCAAACAAAAATGTGTTCAAAATGAAAAAGATGGCTCGCCACTATTATTAAATCATTAACCAAACAGAAAAATTCTGGGCTAGGAAGTAAAACTGAAATCACCAGCCAAAAACTAGAACACTAATGCTAAAGCATATAGCTAGCACACACAGTGTTTATCTTTTATTATATTCTTAAAACTATTAAATTAGATTTCCCGGCTGATAAAAGTCATTAGCTCTCAGAACTTCTGCTCAGCATCAACCAAAACAGATTATTTAGACATTTATGGTTAACTTCCTAACTAAAAGCAATTAAAAAAGTATCTGTGATCTAATGGTACATTTATTCACATAATCTCAGCTCCATAATGTTGTTTTGGCACTTTTCTTCTGACCTCATCTGCCCTTTGACTCTGGGATGAAATGGTATTTCTATAAAGCAATCTTGTATTATTTCATAATGATCATGCTGACAGTGGGTTCTGGAAAGCATTTGAAAAAGGCAGGCCCTGCACTCCTTGAGCAGCAGAGCCACCAGCTACTGCTCTCTCGAGCTATGTGGAATGCAGGCTCCCTTTAACCAGAATTAACTGGAGATGAGCTTGCATTTCAGCAGGGACACTTTCCCTTGGCTTTCTAAACATGCTAATGAAAATTCCAAAGATATCAATTAGGATTTATTTTTTTTTTCCCCCACATAAGAAATAGATAAAGGTGAATCAAAGCCCTTGGCTGTCAAAAGCAAGAATTTCTCATCACTAGCATCCTTGAACCTGATTTGATCCACTCAGCGCCTGTTGCTGTAAATCTGTGCAGCATCAGCAGGTGTGACCATTTAACAGCTCAATGTCCTCCCAGCCAATGTTTGTGTGTTCTATTTATTCCAATGACAGTCATGGCCCTGAATCAGGCAGCACTATGGACAGATATTAAAAAATATTGCCTTTCCATTCCTTTCAAATGACCTTTTAATCTACATTTAAATTTGAATTGAATGAAAATGCATCATTTTGTCATAGACCATGAGAGAAAAGACTAAAAGACATTGCAGAGCAAAGCCAAGTCTTTAGTCTCCAGAAACTACAGAAAAGTAACGTGCTTGAAGAGATGCAAGGATAAGGCAGAAATTATTTCCCCTTGTCATAAAAATATAGGCAGCTTTTGGAAAACAAAGGAAAGGCATCAAATTAATGCTCAAACCTCTATAATACGAGCCTGAACCTCTCTACCTGTCACTTGTGATGAATATGCTCTTGTGAAAAGGCAGATTATTCAAAATTAGACATCTTTTCAAACTTTCATGGTGCAGGCAGGTCTCTAAGGGAACAGTAAAAGTAGACCTCTGCATATAACAACAGTTTTAATGGCAAAAATTCATCAAAGTCTGTCAGGAGATATTTAATGTGTCAGTTAAGATAAGGAATAATGATGCTGGGGAATGCCACTGTCTCTGAGTATAGCAGGGATTCTCTTGTTTTCTTCACTAACATGCAAGGATGCAAACTGCCTTCTATCCACAATAAGATGAAGAGGGATATCAACAGGATTCCTGACATATGAAAAGGATTCATATCTGTAGATGAGAAACCTAAAGGCAGGATGAGTATCAAACCCAAAAATCTGAAATTGAAAGCATCAAGACAGACCATGTAATTTTTTTCCTTTCCTGAAAACTCTTCTCTACCTATGGATTTTCATTACTTTTTTCACACCTACCCCTACTGAACACAGCTCTGAGGTAGGAGCTTTATTCATGGGGGGACTAAAGGACTACATGTTGTAGGCAGTCCAAATCTATGGTACTCCACCACCTTCAGAGAAACTATGTTGATTTAATTGAGCTAAGGACACATCCCCTACTCATCTAAGATAGAACTGGCAGGAATGGAGATACATTTTTTTGCACCTCAGTTCACTGCTTTAATCACAAAACTATTAATTTTCTGATTATTTTTTAGTCCTATCTTAGCTCTAGCAAACCAAGCAGCTTCATTTCTCACCAAACCTATTCTAAGCTGGTTTGTCCCCTTTTTCCATTGTTAACAATTTCTTGCCTCTAGAAAGCAACTAAGAGGCAAACTAGACTTTGATGCCTCTTTTACTCCATACACAGATACAGAGACCTTTTCTCACTTTATTTCCTACAGAAAATTGTCCATTTACTTGTATGATTTATGTGATCTTGTACACCTTTATTTACACTGATTTTAATGTACTTTTGACAGGAAATAAACAATAGGAATTTCTAACAGCTCACCATCAGTAACCTCCAGCTGAGCCTTTGCTAAAATGCTTCCAGCAACCGTCAGTGCTTGACAAATGTAGTAGCCTGCATCAGACCTCTGGATGTTGGTAATGGTGAGGTCCCCGGTTGGTGACACAGAATATCTGCTGTTGGGCTGCAGAGGCTGGTTTGGGAAGAGTAGGTTCTGCAAAGACAATTCATCTCACATCAATTCCAAACACAAAAGCACCACTTTTCCTTCAGCTACAATGATTTTTCCTTAAAAGTACTATAAATAATCGAGGACAAAAAGTAAGTGTGGTTCTGACTTTATGAACACATAGAGCTGCTTTCCCTGCCTTGGGCAACTCACAGTTTAAATTAGAAACAGCCTTTTGACAGCTCACAGTGCTGTGTTCTGACTGGGATGTAGGCGAGGAGACACTTTCCAACAATCACACTTGAGTGATTTATATTTGTGACACATTCATCTTCATTCTGAATGCAATTGTAATAATACACTCAGCTATCAAACAAGAAGGGCATCACACTACAGCAAACACTAGAAAACTAGCAGCAAGCATTGAATCCTGGAAACTGGAGGGAGCAGAGCACTATTGTTTGGCTATGAAAACATTCTGAGAAAATGAGAAAGTAAGAGCATGGTACATAAATAAGGCTGGGAGGAAGATAGAAGCATGTCATAAAGTAGGAGAAGCTGAGAGTTTAAAGGAGAAGCAAAAGGAAATTAAAACTGTGATAAACCAAAGGAGAAGTGCAGCATAGAGCCTGGAGGGCAAATAGGAAGGGTATTAATCTGATGTGGAAATCATCAGAGGGAAAAAAAAAAAAATCATGTAGGATAAGATATCAGTTAGCACAAAACAGGGAGATTAGTTTTTGCCTTTGGGCTGGATTGGAGAAAAGAGAGACGTCAATAATAATAACTGGAATGGCTCTAGTAGTCATTGCATATGATGAAGGACTGAATGAATCAATACTACAGACCCGAAAAGGTTTTAGTGGTGAGAGCTGTGTTTTCAAGGAAAAAGTTATACCCTCTGGCATAGCTCTTGTGAATAAATAAGAACAGGAAAAGGAAGGCCATGCGAAGAGAAAGGTCAGCAGAGTTGCCCAGTGGGATAGAAAGAACATCTTAAACAATAATTAAACAACAGTAATTCCAGTAAAATGGGATCTAGATTTTATGCCAACTCAACGAGACTCTATGAAAAATAGAGTTGTTTGCATCAGGAATACCCCAAAACACTGTTACCAGCTGTGATAAGCTTTCAGTCATTACTGCAGCTCTGTCTAGCTCAGCTGTGCTTTCTAAGGATAACTCCCTACTAACTTTTCAGCTTGTCTGTATTGACAAAAAAAAAAAAAAAATCTAAAAGTGCAGAGTAGGGTATTAAAAGAATTTTCTGCAGATTCACTTCTTCTGAAGGAGACCTTGATGGTTTACAGAAATTATTTGGAGCTGATAAGCAACAAACTGCTTAAGAAACAAGCAAGAATTCAAATAAGAAACAAATCCTATTTTTAAGTGAAACTCATGCCTTTATCTCTAGGTTTTTGTAAAAGGAAAGAGATATGCTTTAAATAACATTCCAAGTATCCTTATAATTGTATTAACCTATTTAACCTACTGGGTTACTCATCACACTAGGCTTTTCTTTTACTGCCTTTCAATAGCAATGTTTAAGAAATTTATTACAGCAAATTTTCCCTCAAAACTCAATATTCACTCAGTAAACAGGTCAGATAATAGGAAAATAAGGTGTTAAAATTCTGAAACAATTTGAGGTTATAGGTTTAAGTGGGTCTCAAATAATTGCCCTGTTTTCTGAACTGCCTTGAAACTTTCAGAATAACTTCTGCCTGGCACAAGATACCTACTGGATTATGAAAACTGTATTATATCTACTGTATTATGAAAACTTCAGTAAATATTATGAGAAGGAGGAGAAATTTGACATAGCTGATCTTGACTTCAGTTATCACTCATTATGTAAAGTGTAAAAACAAGCTGAATGCAAAAGACAGTGCAAGGATGAAGATCCTAATTCTTAACAGAAAAATAGTCAAGAACCCTCTTTGTTACTTCATTAGAAAGGGGAATCAGTCCTTGGTTATATCTTCAGTATGGGCTCCTCTGTCCTGGAAAGGTGTCATGTTCCAGTAAATACTCCACTCATCAGGAGGAGTTCACCAGTGTCTTAACTCCTCCCTTCAAAGACCAGACAACTATGAACTATAACTTGTCCTAAACAATAGTACCATTTTAAAATGCTTTTCACAATTTCACTGGTTTTAATTAGCTGTGGGGTTGCTCATCTGGGCACAATGGTGGCATGCTGGGCTGCAAACAGAGGGACCAGAGCCATCCCTGATATAGTACCACTGAACTTATCTCAAGGAAGGATTGAGTCCATGGAGTCTAAAGGTTACATATGCCCTGCCCTTGCACCTGTCAATGGCAAGCAGCTGTTGGGCACTGGGGAAAAGCCTACCAAGCACAAAGAACCAGCTGTTTATACACAGGCTGGCACAAAAAATTACTCAGGAAGGAACAGCTCCCCTCCCTTCCGGCTGGTTGTGCTCAAAAATGCAGGATGGAGAAATGCATTCACAACCAAAAATGCCCTACAACTACTGGAAAGGGATACCATGACTGTATAACATTACTTTGAACACTGAAAGTGATGCTGCAAACAGGATCCCTAAAAGCAGAAGCAGCATTGTAGAGACAGGCAAAAATTTATAGCTGGGAGGCAAAGGTGTAAAGCCCTGTAATTTGACAAAAAATCCACTCTCCATTGCTATGATGCTACACTATGTGGAAACTCACTCACTCTGTGGGTTCTCACCACAAAATATGGCAAGTTATGCACTGAGATGGCAACCCCAACCTGTGTTACTTCACTGATGGTCAATTAAGATTAACATGAGAATGTTGTATAAAACTACATTGAGCCATGTTTCAAGGTTTGATTATAAAACATGCAGGTATCAATTTTTATGTTGCATTTATTTGCCAAAAAAGACTATTCTAACCCTTAGGGATCTGGTTCTCAATATGGTAATTAATTTTCCAGGTTTGTAATTAAGCAGCTTCAACATTGTACAATCAGTAGGTAATAACATTCAATTAAAGACACAAGATGCATTTTCACCTTAAAATGTTTTTACCCTTGAAGTGATACCAATGGAAGAGGATAAAATAGAGTATTAACACTTTTCAATTACGCTAAATGACTTTAATCCTGAAAATGATGTCCTACTTTAATTAGAAGCTCTTCTCTTTATTACAGCATGATGGATGTCCACTTTATTAGATTCAAGTGTGACACTATAAGCTCACTTTACATAAACATTACCATGCTATTAAAATGCTCTACAAGGAAGGGGTTTGAAATGTTTGCTAGCACATCAGTACTTCCTACTTTAATTTCAATATGCTATTCTACCTTCCCCTTGGAAAAACTGTCACCTTGGTGAGACTCACAATACTGTGCTTTTCCAGGATGTGACCCTTGGAGGCTAGATCTAAATTTCTCTAAATATTATACTGAGAAATACACACTGAAGGTTAAGGTTGCACTCAGACAATAAAATAATCACACCCATAAAGTAATAGTTTTGTGCCTTTGTAAGCCAATGAGACAGCAGAGCACAAAATGCTGTCAGCCTGGTCCTGTCACTCTGGACCAGTTTTCTGGTCTCCTGAGAGGGTGAAGCAGAAGCAGGTGGGGCAGAGCAGGAGAGCTGAGGTTCAGCTCTTATTTCATGTTTTACCTGAGCTGGTACACACAATGCCTCCAGTCAAGAAATATTGTGGCATCACATTCAGATACTGAGCTGTAAAGTTACTATGGGCTGACAGCAGCACCAATTGCTGCCTCACAGATTTTGCCTTCAAAGAGGATCAGGTAAATATTTCCAAACCAAATCTTGAAATGTCTTCAGATAATTTTACTGAAGAAAGCATCTGTGTGTTCAAAACCTTTATTTGTATGCTCTATGAGAAAATGCCAATGCAAATCAGCTTGCTGGATATATTTTGCTTGATCATGTCTAGACAGGTTGTGAACTGTAATTACTGGCTCTGATTAGTTCAAAATTGAGTCATACCTTTTTTTATCTGCTGTGCCTGTCTCACCCACCTGTTTGTTAGGGGCTTCAGAACAAACAGCCTTTAACATATATACTGTTTCCCTCTACTCATCTATACAGTGCCTAGCACAGGTTTCAACAACTTAAATGGCCTTTGTATTCTTCAAAGTATTAAAAAAAAGTGACACAAATTTCAGTAGAGAACAGTGATAGTTTAAAAAGACATATTTCTTTGAAAGATAAAAAAACCTCTGAAAGATAATGTAAATATTTTTCCATAAAATTAAACAATATAACTATTTAGAAAGACTTGAAAGACTTATAGAATGCTTGCAACTTACCTGACTTCCTTCTTTTTGCCAGAAAACAGCTGGCTGGGGATTTCCTTTAGTTTCACAAGGAAAAGTCACAGTTCGACCCTGGGCTACAATCTGGTCTCGTGGTCTCACCACAAACTGTGGGGGAGCTACAAGGTAAGAAGAACCATGGTGTAAGTTTAGGATATTTTGCAAGGGAGAGCAAGGGAATATTGAAGGGAAAAAGACAACATTATGGAGATTTGTTTTATGTCAGAGGACATGACACCAGAAACATTCATTAGTATAGACAGAATTCATATATAAACAGAAACAACAACAGCGACAGAGAGCAGCAATATATGTATGTGACATCCCCAGGTATTAAAAAAAATTTAAAAAGGAAAGAAACATTACAACCATACATGCTAGAGTCAATTCTGATGACATTAAATGCTAAAGAGCAGGAGTTGGGTGTTTATATTGCTGAGTGTGGATGTATTCTACCTTTGCTCTGGGAAGGTATCAGCACCCTCAGATCCTCTCACACTTCACAAAGTTTGCTGTAGCTATTGTGTATTGCAAGGTATGAATTAGGATAAACAGACTGCCTTTCTCAATCTGCCCCTCTGGACTTTTAAAAATGATTATGAGAGGGGAGGAAGGTCTGGATGACAGCAAAAGAATCCAAGTTCAACAGCTCCCTTACTCTTAGAAGCAATATGGTAAAGAATGGTGTGGGGAAAAGGACTTGCTCTAAAAAGAATCATTGCTAAAAGAACAGGTACCTGGTAAGCCCAGGTTTCAGCTAGTTTAAAGAGTAGAGAAAAGCAAAAGTTGAAGAGTTGATGGGGAGAGCTGAGTGGTGAGTAAGAAGGAATAGTATTTAAGGAGGTAAGGAAGACACAATGAAAAGGAAAAAGGAGACTGGAGTTAAAAGAAGAAAGAAGAAGCAGGGCTGGCTCTGTTTTCAAGTCGCTAGCATTAACAGTGTTCAATCATAGGGGACCAGGAAGCACAGTCAGAAGTGAAAGATTTCTAAGAGAGGGGCATAGTTTGACTTGTCTGGAGGGTAATGGTGAGGAATTCAGAATCAGTGTTTTAGTAGTAAAGGTAGAGAAAAGGTGCTAATGAGTGTAAAGAGAATGGGGAAGAAGTGTTAGAGGATTTGAGATAAAAAACTTGAAATCAGATGTTGAGCATGATGTAGAAGTAAAGCAAATTATTTTTCTACGTGGGACATGAAAACTCTCCACTCTTGGTTCATCACTGGAATTTGTACTCTTTTGCATATTTTAAAAATGTAAGCAGCATCTCCAAATATTCTTATCAAAAGACTAGCTAACTTTTGGGGCAGGCTGAAGCAGGGGAAAAAAGGCACAAAAGAAACTCAAACGCCTCAACCCACCCTTGTTCTCTTCTATTCCACTGTTGGTTTTGTGGGTGTGCAGAGGGATGGTTTAGGAATACTAAGCTTTCAGGTAAACAGAATTTAAGTGTTTTAGAAAACCGTATTTTCAGCATTATAATTACAAACTATTTAATTAGGCACGAAGAGCAATCAAGACCCAGCTTCCGATTACACCTGCTGACAGCACAGACACAAACCTGCTAACTGCATAGAAATGTGAGCAGACCTGAGTCTCTTGAAACACACTTTGCAGGTATCTCATGAGGCACTTCCCAAGGCTTTACAGATCAGCAGGAGTCTAAAGAGCATCAGTTGAGTAGTGCTGGCACTCTTAAAACAAGAACTTAATAAGCATGAATCACAATCAGTTTAGAAGATAGGGTATTTCTTTCTGCCTCACATTCCTAAAGAGAGGTTTGGGTCCCTCTGGAGAGAAATGTTCACCTCTTCCTCCACTTGAGGAGGTGTTAATCTTATGAACAGGCAGGACTAAGGGTGAGGTGCCCTCTTGCTGCCTGTTTACAGCCACGTGTTTTGAGCTTTCTATAAGGTGTTGCCAAACACACCTAGGAACTGAACTCATGCTACACCACTCCTCAAGTGCTGAGCTGCAGTGGGTTACTTGGGTTTCCCTCACCTTGTATCACCCAGCATATCCACATGGAACCCCCACAGGTGCCAGGAAATGCAGTGTCCTAGCCAGGGCAGTGTTTGTGTGGCCCCAAGACCACAATCTTCCTACGGTGCCTAAAATCCTGGTGTCAGGAGACTATCCCATAGATCTATGCTAAGCAGGATGGATGGCTAAATTCACTTCTTAGGCTTGCCTGGTGCACTGGGGGGGTGCACGGACAGTGCTCTCAGACAGTTCAACAGAGGCATTTCCATGAGCCTGTCCTCCAAATCATGTAACTGAGTAAATGAAAGGGAGGCAAGTTTAAAAGTTCATCTGAAACTCTCACACACACAGATCTCTACTGTAAATCCATAATTCAGAGCTCTAAACAGATACCACACAACTGAATTTATCCCTGTAGAAGACCTTCCAAGGATGAAATTAAGGTAACTTGGTAGTCAAGGAACAATGAAATGAGAAAAAACACACCCTGGTTTCTACCTAGTTTCCAGTTTTTGATCTATTCCTAGTTTTCAACATCCCTCACTCTCCTAAGAGCAGAGAAAGAACTTCCTTTTTCTTCTTTTTTTTTTCCCAATCAGACCAGGAAAATAAATCTGTGGCTCTGACATGGCATGATCCTGCTGCCCCATTCTCTCCCTGCCACACACCAAGTTCTCTCCACCATTTGACCATACTACACGAGCAGATATTTGGCCTCACAGTTACTAGGTCAAGATTTCTAAAGACTCCAGTAAACAATCACGTATAGTCATGCAACAATATTTTTCTACCTTTGCTCTGCAGCCCTGATTACTAGAAATTCCCTATAAAAATAAATGAATCAGAGCTTTTACTCACATTAAATAGAGCAGAAAACCAGTTTCTTCAGCCAAACTATTTAGAACCATAATTTTAGAGGACATGAAAAACATTCTTTTTGAAAACTAAATTTTTTCATTATTTAAAAAAATATTCAAAGATGAAGTTATATAATGAAGGAAATCTTCATTTTGTCATAGTTTGTTGTCATATTCAACTATAGCTCTGTTTACAGACAGCATCTGACAAAAATACCATTGTTTACAACATTTAAAGACTGTTTTCACCATATCAGTTTTATCTGTCAATTTCTAGTTGAATTTGAAAACTGAAAGCAACAGTTAATAAGTGCAGGAGTAATTCTTGGTCAAATGTAGCTACCCAAATGCTGTGACTGTCATTATCCCCAGAGAATGCAGCATGACCCTGCTCAAAGACAGCAAGGCTCCTTTGACAGAATAAGCACTTGGGTTCTTCAATTTTCCTAAAAAGAGAGCTCATTATGTTCACATATGAATGCTGTTTATAAATACAGACAAATATTATTACTTCCATTCTGCAGAAGGGTTAAGTGAGATCATGCCTTTCTCAAAGCATGACTTCAGTGGAACATTGGGCAAAATTTATTCAAGCCATTATCGCTGCTCTCAAAGTAGGTGAATTTCTAAAACATTCTGAAAGTGTACAGTTAGAGAGGAAACAGCAGTCTTGATATGCTTCAGCTGTTAAAATTATGTGGTACTTTAATGCTTAGTTCAAGCTAAACATTAAGATCATTAGAAGACTATTACTTTCTACTATTTCAGATGTAACATAAACTGGATTGGAAGAAGCAGAGTGGAAACCTTTTGCTTAACTGACATCTGAAAGTCAAAGACACTGGCTCTAAAATGAAATATAATGCTTGGATTCTAGCAGACTAGCCAAAAATATGGGGAAAAAAAAAAACAATTAAGATTACAGACCCAATATACTTCTGTTGAAACTTTTTTTTTTTTTTGAGCAATTTAAATAGTACACAGTAAATTAGATTTGATTTTTGGCAAATTATGCTTTGATACTGCATTCAGCAAGTGCTGGCTTCAATCAATGTCACACTAGAGCTCTGTTATGCTAATAGATGATATGGAAATCAGATGGTTGAACATGAATAGAAAGCACAGGCCACGTACAAGGGGGCTTTGAGATGAGGGGATGGGGGGACCTTAAGGTTAATCACATCATGTTCAGAACTGTTTTTACAGCACAGAACAGTATTCAACTGCAGGAACTAAAGTGCAGATAGAAAAGCATGAGCAGTAGTGAGCATTAGTTATGTTGTGCAAAATGGGAAGAGTGCATTCTGTTGGACTTGTAGAATGTTGGTGGTTTATGCATGACTGAATGGATATTTTATGCTGTTAATAAATGTATATGAAGGTAGCCCATGCTCTGGTGTTAAAAAGCTTTAAAAAAATACCAAAAAAAATGCTGCATATTATTTCAAAGGGATTTCTTAACTCTACTCCAATCTTAATAGTTAGCAGAATCTCTAATCTGATAAGATGTATTTAATGCATTTCTCAGTACTGCTGCTGAATACTAAAGGTTACACTGAGTCAACAGGAGCTGATAAAGCTGCTGATGCAGAAAAGCATGACTGAGACAGAAAGTTCATCCCTTGTAGGTGAACTCTGGTCATCTGATAAGAAATGTGACAGAAGACTCAGAGGGGGAGGGGAAATTTAATATATAAAAATGTGAATTCATAGCAAAAAAGTACACTGATCCCATATCAGGTACTAGCAACATTTTTTTTTCCAGTGACAATTTTCTCAACTGACCTTGTGATTTGGAGTTGACATGGAGTTCAATGATTCTACAGGAATTTTATTATCATAACTTGCTCACAAGTTATGATAATAAAATATATGAACCCAAATTCCCTTGGGTTCATATATTATATTGGTGATTTTAACTAAAAGTAGATATTGTAGCAAGTTTTTTTCCTAATATTTCTACTGCAAGAGACAGGATCAATGAAGGAAGGCAAATTGTAGGAAGTTCATCAAGTACTGCTGGGTCCTGTACTTGACTCACAACAACCCCAGGCTTATGGAAGAGTAGCTGGAAATCCTCCTAGTAGGAAAGGACCTGGGAGTGACAGAGCAGGAGCCAGCAGTGCCCAGGTGGCCAAGAAAGCCAATGGCACCTGGCCTGGATCAGCAGAGGTGTGGCAGCAGGACCAGGGCAGTGATTGTCCCTGTGCTGGGCACTGCTGAGGCCAAACCTCAATCCTGTGTTCATTTTTGGGCTCCTCACTGCAAGAAGGACATTGAGGG